CTCAAATAATGAGAGATGTCGGCGGCATCGTCCGCCAAATGGTAGGGACATTTATGAAAGAGGTGAGAGAAATGATCTCCATTCGCCCCCCTCCAGAGAAGGTGTCGTCCTCGTCTGCGGCCTCCACGCAAACTTTGCCCGAGGCCGCGACAATGGCGTCAGATGTGCCCGACACCCCTAGAGTCGGCGACCGGGGTTCTGTTCCCCAGTCAGAAACGGGTCGGGCCAAGAAGAAGAAGGCGAAGAAGACGCCCGTCTCACTGGCGCCCTCTGGACAGCCCGAGCCGGTGGCTTCGACCTCCGCTCAAACGTCTGTGCAGCCGACCGCGTCCACCTGGGCGACGGTCGTAACAGGAAAACGGGGCAAGACCGTCAGTGTTCCCGAAGGGCAGCCTGTGGCTGCGAACCCTCCGGTGACGAAAGCCGGTTCGGCCCCCTCGAAGAAGGCAAAGAAGACGAGCGCACCCTCGCCTTCTAAACTGAAACCGCCTCGCTCCGCGGCGGTGATTATTACGTTGGACCCGGAGGCGGAAAGGGAGGGTGTCGCGTATGCGAATGTCCTTGCGGAGGCCAAGAGAAGGATCGATCTCCGCGCATTGGGGATCGAAGATATGCGGTTTCGCACCGCGATCACCGGCGGTAAGGTCCTAGAGGTCCCAGGTGCTGATGGCGCGGAGAAGGCCGACGTTCTGGCGTCGAAGCTCCGGGAGTTCATCCCGGAGAATATGGCCAAAATCTCCAGGCCCGTAAAGTCCGCGGAGATGCGGATATCGGGCCTGGACGACAGTGTTACGTCGGAGGAAGTGGCCGCTGCGGTTGCCCGGGAGGGCGGCTGTCAGGTGGACCAAGTGCGAGTCGGAGAGGTTCGACGTACTAGATCTGGGGTGGGCACTTGCTGGGTTAAAGGCCCGTTGCAAGTCAGTTAAGAAGATGACGGTCGCCGGCCGAGTTCGTATAGGCTGGGTTTCGGCGAAAGCAGAGCTCCTGCGGCAGAGGCCGCTTCGGTGCTTCCGCTGCTTGGAGGAAGGACATGTGCGGGCATCCTGCAGTCATGAGCAGGACCGCAGCGGTCTATGTTACCGCTGCGGAAACGAAGGCCATAAGGCGGCGATGTGCGCGGCCGACCCAAAGTGCGCTGTGTGTTCAGCGCAGGGCCGGCCGTCGGACCATTGGGTGGGGTCCAAGGCCTGCACTCCTCCTAAGAAGCGTAAGAAGCAACCGGTGAAATTGCCGAACCCAGCAGGCCGGGTGAGTGTGGAGGGAGAGGAGATGGAAACGGGCAGGTAGTCCCGCCCTCCTCTCCGGCGATAATTACATCGCCACAGGGCCGGGGTGACGACTGCGGGGGCAGTCCCACTCCACACCAACATGGCCCTGGGAAGTCGCGCGCGCATCCCCGCGCGCGTCCCCTAGACGGGGGTGGGTATTCAACATCTCGTACCCGCCCCAAACTGAGTCGGGGCCCGCGAGCCGGTGCGGGCCAACGCCGTTGGGGATCCCGGTGGACTACGCAAGGGAACCCGGGTCCCCAACATTAAGGCGCGGCGAGGGAATGCCATGTGGTTTTTAGCCGGTAGGAGTCCGGCAGTATTCACACCCTCCCCCGGGGGTGTGTCTCTGCATGACGCATTTTCCACATGTAAAAAAAAAAAAAAAAAAAAAAAAAAAAAAGGTTAGGTTAGGTTAGGTTAGGTTAGGTTAGGTTAGGTTAGGTTAGGTTAGGTTAGGTTAGGTTAGGTTAGGTTAGGTTAGGTTAGGTTAGGTTTTTTTTTTTTTTTTTTTTCAACATTAGGTAACTTTAAGTAAGGCTACTGAAGGATAGGTTAGGCTAGGTTAGGTGCACAGGGTGTATATATATGGTTAGTTGTTTTGAGGTTTTAATTAGGTTAGGTTAATTAGGTATATTGTTTGATATTAGGTTGAGGTTAATTTATTATAAATTTTGTAAGGTTAGGTTTAATTAGGTTAGGTTAGGTTATATATAATAATTAAATTAGGTATATATACATTATTAGGTTTTAGTTTAGGTTGGTTATTTATTTAGGTTAGGTTAGGTTAAGGTTAGGTTAGGTTAGGTTAGGTTAGGTTAGGTTATCTTGGCCTGGTGCAGGTGTCCTCCTGGGCAACGGCGGTAAGTGACTTCTCGCTATTTAGAGATCTCACTTACCGACGGCTAATATTCCGACAGAGGTGGTGAGCGGCGAGCCCAAGTTATGGGGTTTGTCGTGTTTTCGTTGGGGGCGGGTTTTGTTCCGCGACTTCTCGTAGTGGGAGTGGTCGGCGGGCCCGGTGAGTGCTTCGTTGCGCAGCCGGGCTGGTTTCAGTGCCACCGCCGAAAAACCGTAATCCCTCGCGGAGGTGTGGTCATGTTTCGCACCGGAGTGAGGGGACGGGGGCCTTGGCTTAACCGCCTGGGCCGCGAGGAGTAAACCTCTATAAAAATCCTCTTGTGTAAGCTTCGGTGCCTGGCGATGCATAGTTCGTTGTGCGGTGCACGCTACCGGACATCAAAAGTTCGGTTAGCGTGTTCTGTGCTGCGGGCGGGTCGGTGGAGTATCATCGGCCGCAAGGGCACCAACCTCGGGGTATCTGCCGCACCCCGTTGTATGTAGGCCGCACGCAGAAGCAGGGGGCTCCCCTGCGTGTGAAACCTTTCCCCCATACTCGTGGGAACAAGTATGGAAATATCAAACACAAAAACAAAACCCAAAATTGATGTCGTGTCCGAGAAGGACGGTGAGAAAGTAGTGCCTGAGAAGGGCGGAGAGAAGTTGGTGCCTGAGAAGGGCGTAGAAAGTAAGAAGTCGGGGCTAGAACTCCTGAAAGAGTGTTCGGTAGTACTGGGCGAAGATGTTGGTCTCTTAGGTCGTCGTCGTACTCGCCATAGTCTGTTGAGAGCGGTTGCGGGCGAGATCGACTGCGGGTCTACGCGGTCGAGCTCGTGTGCAACCCCAACTGAGGAGATGGAAATGGAACCGTTGCCGTCTACGTCTGGTCTCCGCTCCTGGCGTAAAAGACACATTGCTGAGTCTGACACAGACTCTATAGTTGAGGATGAGGGCGATGTCCAGTCCGCCCGCAAAAGGTCCGGCAGCCCTAGAGTGGGGTCGAGAGCAAGTTCTCGCACAAGGAAGAAGGAGGAATGTCGGCGGCAGTTCAGCTACCGATTCTTTGAGGACGATGTAACCAGAGCGGTCCCTGGGGCGGGTGCTACCAAGTCTGGATTACCTCCAGCGACGGCCCTGGATTATCATGAGAGTGACTTCTTCTCCTCTGGGGATGAAGCGTCGGATATACAGTCGGAGTCGGATAGGCCGACGGCGTCTGGCGCCACTGCCACTGCCGCCGCCGAGAATAAGAATAAAGTGGCCGAGGAGGTAATCCGCAGGGCGAAGTGTCTCGTCCACCGGCAAGCGGATGCTCTCACCGATGTTGTGAAGAAGGCAGGGAACCTCAAAGGGACCACCATAAGGACCCTGAAAGAGGGTTTGGCCGGGATCACACAGGTTGTGGACACCTTGGAGGGGGATCTATTTCCGACGTCGGTCTCTCCACTGGTCTCAAAGAACCTGAGACTTGAGCAGGAAGTCGAGTACCTGCGTCGGCAGTTGGCCGAGGCTCGTGCTGCCAAGCCAGCTGCCAAGCCAGCGGCCAATGCCGGTATCTCGGCGGATGTTGTCCCTGTCGTAGGGAGTGAGGCGAGCGCGTTCCGCGCTCAAATAATGAGGGACGTCGGCGGAATCGTCCGCCAAATGGTAGGGACGCTTATGAAGGAGGTGAAAGAGATGATCTCTGCTCTCCCCTCCACTGAGAAGGTGTCGTCTGCGTCAGCGGTCTCCACGCAAACCTTGCCAGAGGCTGGAACAATGGCGTCAGATGTGCCCGACCCCCCTAGAGTCGGCGACCGGGGTTCTCTTCCCCAGTCAGAAACGGGTCGGGCCAAGAAAAAGAAGGCGAAGAAGACGCCCGTCACACCGGCGCCCTCTGGACAGCCCGAGTCGGTAGCAACAACATCCGCTCAGCCGCCTGTGCAGGCGACCGCGTCCTCCTGGGCGACGGTCGTAAAAGGAAAACGGGGCAAGACCGTCAGTGTTCCCGAAGGGCAGCCTGTGGCTGTCAACCCTCCGGTGACGAAAGCCGGTTCGGCCCCCTCGAAGAAGGCAAAGAAGACGAGCGCACCCTCGCCTTCTAAACTGAAACCGCCTCGCTCCGCGGCGGTTATTATTACGTTGGACCCGGAGGCGGAAAGGGAGGGTGTCGCGTATGCGAATGTCCTTGCGGAGGCCAAGAGAAGGATCGATCTCCGCGCATTGGGGATCGAAGATATGCGGTTTCGCACCGCGATCACCGGCGGTAAGGTTCTAGAGGTTCCAGGTGCTGATGGCGCGGAGAAGGCCGACGTTCTGGCGTCGAAGCTCCGGGAGTTCATCCCGGAGAATATGGCCAAAATCTCCAGGCCCGTAAAGTCCGCGGAGATGCGGATATCGGGCCTGGACGACAGTGTTACGTCGGAGGAAGTGGTCGCTGCGGTTGCCCGGGAGGGCGGCTGTCAGGTGGACCAAGTGCGAGTCGGAGAGGTTCGACGTACTAGATCTGGGGTGGGCACTTGCTGGGTTAAAGCTCCATTGCAAGCAGTTAAGAAGATGACGGTCGCCGGCCGAGTTCGTATAGGCTGGGTTTCGGCGAAAGCAGAGCTCCTGCGGCAGAGGCCGCTTCGGTGCTTCCGCTGCTTGGAGGAAGGACATGTGCGGGCATCCTGCAGTCATGAGCAGGACCGCAGCGGTCTATGTTACCGTTGCGGAAACGAAGGCCATAAGGCGGCGATGTGCGCGGCCGACCCAAAGTGCGCTGTGTGTTCAGCGCAGGGCCGGCCGTCGGACCATTGGGTGGGGTCCAAGGCCTGCACTCCTCCTAAGAAGCGTAAGAAGCAACCGGTGAAATTGCCGAACCCAGCAGGCCGGGTGAGTGTGGAGGGAGAGGAGATGGAAACGGGCAGGTAGTCCCGCCCTCCTCTCCGGCGATAATTACATCGCCACAGGGCCGGGGTGACGACTGCGGGGGCAGTCCCACCCCATACCAACATGGCCCTGGGAAGTCGCGCGCGCATCCCCGCGCGCTTCCCCTAGACGGGGGTGGGTATTCAACATCTCGTACCCGCCCCAAACTGAGTCGGGGCCCGCGAGCCGGTGCGGGCCAACGCCGTTGGGATCCCGGTGGACTACGCAAGGGAACCCGGGTCCCCAACACAAAGGCGCGGCGAGGGAATGCCATGTGGTTTTTAGCCGGTAGGAGTCCGGCAGTATTCACACCCTCCCCCGGGGGTGTGTCTCTGCATGACGCATTTTCCACATGTAAAAAAAAAAAAAAAAAAAAAAAAGGTTAGGGTAGGTTAGGTTAGGTTAGGTTAGGTTAGGTTAGGTTAGGTTAGGTTAGGTTAGGTTAGGTTAGGTTAGGTTAGGTTAGGTTAGGTTAGGTTAGGTTAGGTTAGGTTAGGTTAGGTTAGGTTAGGTTAGGTTAGGTTAGGTTAGGTTAGGTTAGGTTAGGTTAGGTTAGGTTAGGTTAGGGTAGGTGAGTCGGAAAACTGGGTCGGAAGAGTGCCCTGGCTCATTGTACGGTCACTTGTCCTGGTGCGGATACGTCCGGCGGGAACGGTGGCTGACAATGGCTGGGGCCTGGTGCATCCTGGGCAACGGCGGTAAGTGACTTCTCGCTATTTAGAGATCTCACTTACCGACGGCTAATATTCCGACACGAGGTGGTGAGCGGCGAGCCCAAGTTATGGGGTTTGTCGTGTTTTTGTTGGGGGCGGGTTTTGTTCCGCGACTTCTCGTAGTGGGAGTGGTCGGCGGGCCCGGTGAGTGCTTCGTTGCGCAGCCGGGCTGGTTTCAGTGCCACCGCCGAAAAACCGTAATCCCTCGCGGAGGTGTGGTCATGTTTCGCACCCGAGTGAGGGGACGGGGGCCTTGGCTTAACCGCCTGGGCCGCGAGGAGTAAACCTCTATAAAAATCCTCTTGTGTAAGCTTCGGTGCCTGGCGATGCATAGTTCGTTGTGCGGTGCACGCTACCGGACATTAAAAGTTCGGTTAGCGTGTTCCTGTGCTGCGGGCGGGTCGGTGGAGTATCATCGGCCGCAAGGGCACCAACCTCGGGGTATCTGCCGCACCCCGTTGTATGTAGGCCGCACGCAGAAGCAGGGGGCTCCCCTGCGTGTGAAACCTTTCCCCCATACTCGTGGGAACAAGTATGGATATGTCAAAAACAAAACCCAAAATTGATGTCGTGTCCGAGAAGGACGGTGAGAAGTCGGTGCCCGCGAAGGGCGGAGAGAAGTCGGTGCCCGTGAAGGGCGGTGTTAGTAAAAAGAAGTCGGAAGTGGAGGTTCTGAAAGAGTGCTCCGTTGTACTGGGCGAGGATGTTGTGGAGTTAGGTCGCCGTCGCACTCGTCACAGCTTGTTGAGGGCGGTTGCGGGCGAGACCGACTGCGGGTCTTCGCGGTCGAGCTTGTGCGCATCCCCAATTGATGAAGGCATGGAGACGGAGCAGTTGCCGTCCACATCTGGACTACGCTCCTGGCGCAAAAGGCGTCTTAACGAGTCCGATACGGACTCCACGGTCGAGGATGAGGGCGATGTCCAATCCGTCCGCAAAAGGTCCGGCAGCCCTAGAGTGGGATCGAGAGCCAGTTCGATCACTAGAAAGAAGGAGGAGTGTCGGCAATTCACATACCGATTTTTCGAAGATGAAGGGACAGCCGCTGGCAAATCTGGTCTGCCCCCAGTGACGGTCTTAGATTATCACGAGAGTGATTTCTTTTCTTCCGGAGATGAGGAGTCAGACAAACCGACGGAGCTGGACAGGCCGACGGCATCTGGCGCCACTGCCACCGCTGCCGCCGGTGACAAGAACAAAGTGGCCGAGGAGGTACTCCATAGGGCGAAACTTCTCGTCCATCGGCAAGCGGATGCTCTTAGCGACGTCGTTAAGAAGGCGGGAAATCTCAAAGGGACCACCATAAGGACCCTGAAAGAGGGTTTGGCCGGGATCACACAGGTTGTGGACACCTTGGAGGGGGATCTATTTCCGACGTCGGTCTCTCCACTGGTCTCAAAGAACCTGAGACTTGAGCAGGAAGTCGAGTACCTGCGTCGGCAGTTGGCCGAGGCTCGTGCTGCCAAGCCAGCTGCCAAGCCAGCGGCCCAGGCCGGTATCTCGGCAGACGGTGTTCCTGTTGTAGGAAGTGATGCGAGCGCATTCCGTGCTCAGATAATGAGAGATGTCGGCGGCATCGTCCGCCAAATGGTAGGGACATTTATGAAAGAGGTGAGAGAAATGATCTCAATTCGCCCCCCTCCAGAGAAGGTGTCGTCCTCGTCTGCGGTCTCCACGCAAACTTTGCCCGAGGCCGGGACAATGGCGTCAGATGTGCCCGACACCCCTAGAGTCGGCGACCGGGGTTCTCTTCCCCAGTCAGAAACGGGTCGGGCCAAGAAGAAGAAGGCGAAGAAGACGCCCGTCACACCGGCGCCCTCTGGACAGCCCGAGCCGGTGGCTTCGACCTCCGCTCAAACGTCTGTGCAGTCGACCGCGTCCTCCTGGGCGACGGTCGTAAAAGGAAAACGGGGCAAGACCGTCAGTGTTCCCGAAGGGCAGCCTGTGGCTGCGAACCCTCCGGTGACGAAAGCCGGTTCGGCCCCCTCGAAGAAGGCAAAGAAGACGAGCGCACCCTCGCCTTCTAAACTGAAACCGCCTCGCTCCGCGGCGGTGATTATTACGTTGGACCCGGAGGCGGAAAGGGAGGGTGTCGCGTATGCGAATGTCCTTGCGGAGGCCAAGAGAAGGATCGATCTCCGCGCATTGGGGATCGAAGATATGCGGTTTCGCACCGCGATCACCGGCGGTAAGGTCCTAGAGGTCCCAGGTGCTGATGGCGCGGAGAAGGCCGACGTTCTGGCGTCGAAGCTCCGGGAGTTCATCCCGGAGAATATGGCCAAAATCTCCAGGCCCGTAAAGTCCGCGGAGATGCGGATATCGGGCCTGGACGACAGTGTTACGTCGGAGGAAGTGGCCGCTGCGGTTGCCCGGGAGGGTGGCTGTCAGGTGGACCAAGTGCGAGTCGGAGAGGTTCGACGTACTAGATCTGGGGTGGGCACTTGCTGGGTTAAAGGTCCGTTGCAAGTCGTTAAGAAGATGACGGTCGCCGGCCGAGTTCGTATAGGCTGGGTTTCGGCGAAAGCAGAGCTCCTGCGGCAGAGGCCGCTTCGGTGCTTCCGCTGCTTGGAGGAAGGACATGTGCGGGCATCCTGCAGTCATGAGCAGGACCGCAGCGGTCTATGTTACCGCTGCGGAAACGAAGGCCATAAGGCGGCGATGTGCGCGGCCGACCCAAAGTGCGCTGTGTGTTCAGCGCAGGGCCGGCCGTCGGACCATTGGGTGGGGTCCAAGGCCTGCACTCCTCCTAAGAAGCGTAAGAAGCAACCGGTGAAATTGCCGAACCCAGCAGGCCGGGTGAGTGTGGAGGGAGAGGAGATGGAAACGGGCAGGTAGTCCCGCCCTCCTCTCCGGCGATAATTACATCGCCACAGGGCCGGGGTGACGACTGCGGGGGCAGTCCCACCCCACACCAACATGGCCCTGGGAAGTCGCGCGCGCATCCCCGCGCGCTTCCCCTAGATGGGGGTGGGTATTCAACATCTCGTACCCGCCCCAAACTGAGTCGGGGCCCGCGAGCCGGTGCGGGCCAACGCCGTTGGGATCCCGGTGGACTACGCAAGGGAACCCGGGTCCCCAACATTAAGGCGCGGCGAGGGAATGCCATGTGGTTTTTAGCCGGTAGGAGTCCGGCAGTATTCACACCCTCCCCCGGGGGTGTGTCTCTGCATGACGCATTTTCCACATGTAAAAAAAAAAAAAAAAAAAGGTTAGGTTAGGTTAGGTTAGGTTAGGTTAGGTTAGGTTAGGTTAGGTTAGGTTAGGTTAGGTTAGGTTAGGTTAGGTTAGGTTGGGTTGGGGTGCTGGGTCGGAAAACCTCCAAGAGTGCCCTGGCTCATTGTACGGTCACTTGTCCTGGTGCGGATACGTCCGGCGGGAACGGTGGCTGACAATGGCTGGGGCCTGGTGCATCCTGGGCAACGGCGGTAAGTGACTTCTCGCTATTTAGAGATCTCACTTACCGACGGCTAATGTTCCGACGCCGCGGGTGGGACGAGTTCGTGACGCACTATTTGTGTTGCGGACTTGCCTGACTCGCTCTTCGTTTTGTTTCTACTTCTGTTTCGTTTTTCTTCGTTTTTGTTTTTTTTTTGTTTTTGTTTTGTTATATCTTCTCTGTCGTCTTTTCTGTCATCTTTCTCTTTTCTGTTTATTTTTGTTTGTCTATCCATTTTCAAATTTCAATTTCCTTTCGCCTTGCTACGGGACCTCACCCGTTAAAAAAGGAAACAGATGAAATGGCCGAGTTCAAAACTAATGACCCCAGGGCGGTACCATCGGGAGATGGAGAATCCGCCACCACCGCACCGGTTCAGCCGGGGGTGGTCAGCTCCACGTATCTGGGGGGAGCAAAACAAGGCCTTGAAGGAGTAGGGGTTGAGAAGTTGGGAGAATTGGAGAAGGGGGCGGGCCTGGCGACCACAGTCGTGCCAGTCAGGGCCCGTCGGAGTATGGACGTGGATCCGGCAACGGACGAGGAACTGGCCAGTCTTGCTGGCGAGATCGACAGCTTGCTGTCGCGGTCGACCTCGGTGGCAAGCCTGTTTAGCGAAGACGAGTATGGGCTCCTCGAGCGCCCCCGTTCGCGCAAGAGGCGCATATCCGAAACCGACGATGGGTCGGCTACAGGATCCGGACGAGACACACAGTCGGCCGCCAAAAAGGCGAACGCGGCTAAAAAATCGGCAAAGACTGCAAGCAGTCAGTTCAGCATTTCGCTGTATGAGGGTGGAAACACGGTGCCCCGAAGACGACCGAGCTGGAGAAGACTCTTCTCTCGACGTCTGGCGC